CAGTGACTTGGGAGGCTGAGGCAGGACGAGTGCAAGTTCAAGGCCAGTCTGGGCAACTTAGGGAGACGCTGTCCCAAAATAAAAAAACATATATATATATAAAGGGCTAGGTTTATGGCTCTGTGGTAAAGCCACTGGTACCCACCCACCCCCAAAAAGAGTTAATAATCATGTATGTAAGTGAAGCAAAAATTTTATGAAACAATAAAACACGCAACATACTTCAATATTTTCTGTTTTTTATTTCATTCTTTTAAAAAATGCTGGTTATAATCCAAGAATGAGTCACAACTGCAGGTTGAAAAACTCTGAGGTAGAGCAGGGGTGTTAGTGGTATTTTAGCTTTGTGAATTTCCTCAAGGACATATTTTTGTGTTACTTTTGAAATTCTAAAATGATACATTTATAAGAGAACAGCATCTTTCAGCCCTCTATTGTACATTCTCTGGCAGTTCTGAATTAGAAACAGGGCAGACATTAAGGGGACCAGTAGCAACCTGGGTTAGCTCATATACAAAGTTCCTCCTAAACCATAAATTCATTTGTTATAGTCTTGCTTATTGATTTTTCAGTCTTTGCCATAGAACACTTTCTCTCAGATGAATTCTTCTTGGTTTCAATTTTTATTCAGCCCACTAAAGTTTGCTAATCTAAAAATCATGGATAAACAAGAAAAACCCTACTTCTGAGTACTTCTTAGATTAACAGAAGTAGACAGGTGTAATAGGACAGGAGTTTTTCCCACACTTTTTATCGGTGTATTATAGCTGTACATAATGACGGGATTCATTGTTATGTATTTATACATGCACACAATATAGACTAGAACAGAATTTGGCTAATATCTCTCCTCTGTGTTTCCCCTTTTCTTCTCCACCACCCTCCTCCTGGTTCCTTTTCTCTATCCATCTCCCTTCGATTTTCAAAAGACCCCCCCACACACACCTTTCTTTTCTTTTTTCCTCTTTAGCTTCCGCATATGAGAAAAAAATATACAACCCTTGACTTTCTGAGTTTAACTTAGTTTGCTTAGCATAATGTTCTCAAGTTCCATCAATTTTCCTGCAAATTACACAATTTCATTCTTCTTTATGGCTGAGTGAAACTCCACTCTGTGCATATACCACATTTTCTCATCCATTCCCCAACTGACACCTCGGCTGGTTATTGTGAGCGGTGCTCCTACAGGGTAGGCTGTTGAAGAGGGGAACATAGGTGGTGGCAGCAGAGAAAGATGGATTTGAGAAGAGGAGGAGATGGATTCCGAGAAGAGATGTGTTTGTAGAAGAAGTGACCAAACTTTCCCTGGAGAAAGAGATGGCATTCCTGAAAGTGGGAACAGCATGCACCAAGGCACATCCCTGAGGAGAATGTGCAGGTGCATCTGTCTAGAGTTTAGGAGAGCCATGGGTGATGAGACTAAGCAGAGGGAGAAGTTTGCAGAGGGTCTGCTGTGTATATCTGTAGGCCCCAAGAGCCACTCAGGTGACTTTGTGTTCTTACCAGGAAGCAGGAAGGGTTAGGTTCAGATTTGGGGGTCTCAGTCTTACTTGTTACCAGCAGACTACAGAACTACCTAAAGTCTGGAATTGTCTTGCTGTCTGAATCCTCATCGTGCCCAGTACTGGGGTTGGCACGACTCAATGAACATTAGAGGAATGCCAGGTAATGAGCTACCCAGGCAGCACCTGGAAGGCCTCTGATGGAGCTCTAATCAGTAAGAGGAATAAGACAGAATTACAGCATTTTTTTGGAGTAATTTAGCAAAGCAAGTATCTTTTACTAAGAACCCTTCAAAACTCTTCCTGGAAAGATGTTTCAAGTGAATCCATAACTTAAAATGATTCTTATATTGACTCCAGATCCTAAAGATAAGAAAAATGGAGACAAATAAAATATAGAAGTAGAAAATAAATTGACTTTTGATATAGTGGTTTTAAAGTTCCCATGAATAACAAACAACTTTACAATTATTTTTGATATCTTCATATAAGTATGAAAATCATCAGATAAATACTTTGAATGTTCAAGTTGGGTGAATCCTTTGAGTTTATTTTAGTCCTTATCTTACAACTGAAGAGAGCGGGATCTAAATAACTTCATGTGAGTTGCCCCAAATAATTTTCTACAGTTTTAATCAGAGCATAATTGTGACATTTATGACTCAGAGAATATATTAGAGTATATGTCCCTTTAATCTCTTAAAAATGCATATGTATTCAATGTTCATAAGCTCAATTCACAATAGCTAAGCAGTGGCACCAACCTAGGTGCCCTCAATAGATGAATGGATAAAGAAAATGTGGTACAGATACAGAAAGAATGAAATTATGGTATTTGCCAGTAAGTGGAACTGGAGGCTATCATGCTAAGTGAAATAAGCCAATCTCAAAAAACCAAAGACTGAATGTTCTAATATGTATATGCTGACTCACAACAGGTAGGGTGGCACAGGGAGGTAGTGGAGGTTCACTGAATTGGACAGGGGGAAATGAGGGAAAGTGAAGGGCAGTGGGAATGGGAAAGAAGTAGAATGAATTGGACATAGCTTCCCTATGTTCAAATATGAATACACAACCAGTGTAACTCTGTATCATGTACAAGAATGGGAAGTTATACTCCATGTATGTATGATATGACAAAATACTTTCTACCATCATGTGTAACTAAAAAGAACAACTAAAAAAATTTTAAAAATGCAAATGTGTTCTCATAATAAAATTTGTAGATCATACTGCTTCTATTTTTATATCTTACCCTTTCACTTAATGTATTTTTGATGATTCTCCCCAAATCTTTGTTTTTCATATATAATCATTCATTTCTAAACAAAGGGAGTACATTCCAGGAAATGCATAGTTGGGTAATTTTGTTTATGTGTGAACATCCTGGAGTGTATATATACAATCTAAGATGGCTAGGTCATCAGCACTTGGCAAAATAATCTTGTGGGACTACATTATATATGCAGTCTGTCACTGGTCAAACTGTCATTATGTGGTAATGGATCATATTTGTTATTCACAATATTTAAAGGCTACATAACATCTCATTGTGTGGATAAACTAATTTACTGATCTAGTTTTTGTTGTTATTAGAAATAAAATCTTTGCCTATAAATCATGGGGACTTCTCCCTGATTATATCTTTTTAAAAACTTTTTTAGTTGTAGGTGGACACAATGCCTTATTTTTATTTATTCATTTTTATGTGGTGCTGAGGGTAGAACCTGGTGTCTCACCCGAATTAGGTGAGCACTCTACCACTGAGCTGCAACCCCAGCCCCCTCTCCTTATATCTTATAGAAGGAATTATTGGTTTGGTCAAAGGGGATGGACATGTTCAAAGATTCTGATATATACCAAGTTGAATAGCCTAGGAAAGTTGTGCAGATTTTCCATAGTCTACACGTTATATGACTTTTGAAATCTTAGCAACTTGAGACCTCAAAGGTCAGTTATTACAGCTCATCTGAAGTTCAAATTGGTCTAGTTTAAATCATTTTGAAATACTAATAATTATTCTGCAATCATTAGTTTAAGAAGCCAAGAAGTCTTACTCTCAAGCTATAAATGAATCTTAAAAGCTAAAGAAGAAATGGGTAACTAAATGGCAAAAGATCAAATTAGAAAAGTCCAGGAGTTTTCCTGTAGGGGTCACTATTACTGTCTATTTATGCCTGCCATGAAACTCAGAGTCAAGCTTTTAAGAATGTATGCACACTCATTTTTAATGCCTGATTTGTCTACAGTTCCTCAACTGTAAGATAAATAAGACCTCGAAGCCAGAGAGCAGCATCATGCCAAGTTCTTTAAATTATGATACCACTCCACTCATATGCTTGAATTGATAAAATATATGTTACTCATACTTAAAGCACTTACGCCTGCTCTTTATAGAGGAAGCATTAGCTAATTGCCTAATGCCATAAAGTGTGTACATGGCATATGCTGACTTGAGAAGTAGGGATTCTGTTGCTGTGGCCCACAGAATCCCTTCCTCCACCTTCCCTTTTTCTGCCTCAAAAATCTATGCAGCCAAAAATCAGATGTTGTAACTTGACCTTGTCATTTCAGTTGCTCCCAGGTGCTTTCTGATTTTTTATTAAGCCTGTTCAAACATGATGGGGACGTTCTAGGAGGAGGGCCAGTAGGGTTGTGCAGACACACCTTACCAAGGCGGCCAGGACAGGGATTTTGCCAGGTGTGCCGGGAACGTGCCAGCCCTTCTACAAAACAGGAGTTTTTCCATCATAAAATGCAAAGCAGCCAGTCGTTTTCCATGCCTCCCATCCTCAACCCCCCTCATCCGGTGCTGTAGGAAGAGCGGGGAGGATATTTACCCTGCACTCCTGCACTTTTAACTGAACCCAGTGGCGGCTGCCTTTCCCAGTGCAGAGCCAGCGGGCTCGGGCCCAGTCGCACTTGGCAGGCAGGCTGCCCAGCTGACCCGGGGCTCTAGTCAAGCCCGAGCTGGGCTGGGGTGTCGGGGAAGCGGAAGGAGCCTGTCTAGGAAACCCGAGTGTGTGTGGTGTATAGGTGTGTGCAAGCCTCAACTTCAGATCCGAGTAGAGACCTCAACCTCGCTCCTGGCGCGTTGGGTCCCGAAACAGACTCTTGGCTGGGCCCGCCTTCTTCTCCAGCCCGACGCCGCCGCAGCCGCCACTGAGGCTGAGAGTTGGCGAAACTCACTCACCTGGCGCAACCCGGATCTGGCAGGAAGAAGGGCCCGGCGGCCGGAGCGTGCTGATTACAGCAGCCTTGGCAGGCGTCCCGACCCGCACTGGGACACCGCGGCCAGAAAGGCAGGTGTGAGGGCTGCTCCCGCCCACTCGGGCCCGCACTCTCCAGCTCCGCGGTCGCCCTCTTTTGCCCCCAGGTGCCATTGGTTCGGGGTGTCCCGAGGGCTTACTCCGGCAGACGCCAGGGCTGCAGGTTCGAGACGCTCCGCCTCCTCCCGCCACTTAGATCCACCAGCACCAGGAAGAACCTTTCCGTTCGGTCTTAGTCTGTGGTCACTGCTGAGGTTTACGGAACTTTCCAAGCAAGGGCCAGCCAGGTCCTTTGCCTCCACCTCAAGCCGCGCCTGCCGCTCGCCTGCGACATCCCTACGCCCGGGAGGTCCCACTCTCCCCTCCCGGCACCGAAACCCCAACTTTTTGTACGCGATCTCCTTCGCCTAACTGGGTGTCCTGCTACTGTGCCAAAGAGCGCGCGCTTCTTCCCGGGGGCAGCAGTTTCCCAACCTCGCGGCTAAGCCCTTTTCCTCCCCGGATCAAGCGTGGTGCTGGGTGAGCCCGGACTCGGGGTGCGTTTAAGCGCTCCCAGCGCTCAGCATTCGCCCTTGCCTCAGATCTAACCCTTGAGGAGTGATTAAGCCCTCGAGGCCCAAGTTTCTTACTCCGAAACCCAAATCCGCCCAGGCGTTTTCTCTCTAAACTCTTGTTCCTGGCGCGGATTCACCCGGCGAGCTGCCCCGCTGAGCTTAAGAGAGTGCAGGGAGACGTCGCCCCGTCGGGTGCTCAGCGCAGCATGGCTGGCTGCTGCTGTCTGTCTGCAGAGGAGAAGGAATCGCAGCGCATTAGCGCTGAGATCGAGAGGCAGCTTCGCCGGGACAAGAAGGACGCGCGCCGCGAACTCAAGCTGCTGCTACTGGGTGAGTGGTTGCGTATCCCCCCGAACCCCAGTGCACTGGGGGTTCCCTCCCAGACCCTTTGCTAGCCATCCTCTAGTCGCGCCTGGAGCCCCGAGGGGTGCGGCACAGTTTCCTCATATTCCCTTCGGAATTTGAGGATGTCGGCAACTTGGGCCTTAAGCGCCAGTCCTTTGAACCTCTGGCCGGGCCACTTTTGAAAGTACCCTCTCACGACTTGGAAACAGGGCTGGGAAGTAACCGTTACCTCTGTCTGCTTTGTCCCATGGGTTTCAGTTTGCCTAAAACCTCATCTATTCCTCAACCCCCAGCGCACAGCTTCTGCAGATCCCCAAGTTGGATGTCAGGGTTGGTAGCGGGGAAATGACTGACCCCCATCTTCTTCCCTGGGGCAGCAGTCTCCATAGTTCTGGTCTGCAATGTTTTCAATTCTAAATGAAGTGCAGCCTCCAGCTAAGTTCTTACTGGCATAACCTAGTGATATGGTCAGGCGCTAACCCCATTTTAGAGAAGTATGGGAATTGGAAACCTGAGAAACTTGCCCTGAAACTAGCCCAGTATCTCGTTTGCCTAGTGATGGGGGTGAAGCCCATGTCCTTAGCCTCTTCTGATTCTTGTGACCTCCTTCATCCGCCTCCCACCCTCCCACGGGTCTGTCTCCTTGGCAGGTCTTTGTGTTTGCAGCAAACCCAAGCCTCCCCTGCCATCTTTGGTTTGGCAATCAGATTTGTCCTGGGGTTCAGCTTTGCAACCCCAGCCACGCTGCTAATTCTTCATCTGTCTTTGGTGTCTCTGCAAAGCTCTTTCAGAAATAGAAAGAAAACAGTTTAAGGAGACAATTTTTGCTATAAGGCAAGGATCCCACACCTTCTGATCTTCTAAAATTGCCATTCAATAAATTTACTGTGTGAAGAATATTTATTTTTTCCTTCTTTCATATCAAGATATCCATTTCCCCTCTAAATAGCCACAAGTATTTCACTGTACAGGAATCAGTACCTGTCATCCTCTGCTTGTTTATTCTTCTTTAAGTAGTCACTCTCCCTGAGAGCTTCAAGGAAAGACCGGTTGATCTAGTTAGCATAAAATAGAGGGCTTTTAGTCATACTGCTTTTGGACTAAGCAAAGAACCCCCCCCCCTTACACACACAAACACACAAACACACATTTATCCTGGGTTTAGAGAGTCTGGCCTGGTTTACCCTGCAGGCTGTGCCCTCCTCAAAGGGCTAAAAATCTACTAGTCCAAGCAGGGTGGCCACCCACAGTCTACATTGCTCCCCTCCCTGATACAAGTCCTGCATGGAATTCCCTGCCCCAAGACCCCAAGCCTGTGGCTAGAGTCTGAGCCAGGAGAGACTGCAGGCCTAATCCCTGATTGCCCAAAGGGGCAGCTCTTTGCTAAAATTGTGGAGGAGCTTGAGAAGGTGGGCTAGGGGTCTCAGAAGACCCCCTTGAGGAGAGTGAGTCCGGGTGAAGAAAGAACAGACTGTCCATTGACCAGGGCTGTTCATTTATGTCTGGCCCAGAACTCGGAAGACTGAGAATTCAACATTGAACCTGGCCTTCGAGGATGTCATAAAGGCAGATAAGTTAGGGAGGAGGATTGTGGATTAACACTTTACAGTGATTGGCAGGCCCTCATTTGTACTGGAGCCTTAGGTCCCGAACACCACAGGGGTAGTCGTGGCCTTAGTTGCAGAGCTTTTCTTTTCAAGGACAGGCTGAACCCTAGTTCATTTTGAAATGCTAAGATCTGTGTTAGTATATGAAGTGCAGTGTCTAGAATATACCAAGAGTTTGACAGATGCTGGCTGTTTATGTGAAAAAAATGTGCAGTCAGCTAAGCTATACTCTCTTGGTAATAAACCTATTCATTTGATATAAAATGATTGCATTTGCACTCAGACTAGGGAAGAAATGTTTGTAGGTAAGTTCTTTGCCCCTGAGAGTCAATTTTAACCCAGGTGACTAGAGGTCCTTCGTAACCCCCATGCTCTTGTCTGGCCCTTGCTCCACCCTCCAAACCCCTCAAGGCATTGCCTAATCTTCCTGAGCCCCTGTTTTCATCATTAGTACATCATCTCAGTGACCATTTTTCTATTAAAAATATAGTTTTCAAACCACATGCAGCTGTCCAGAACCCCTCAAATGAACTAAAAAACAATAACCTCTGATTTCTTTCAATCTTTAATTGTGGGGCACAGTCTGTTCTTCTCAAGATAAAGGAAAAGACAACGACTTGGATGATGCGAGGGTCAGGAAAGGGTGTATGCTGTTTTGTTTGAAGTCATTGAGTTGGAGCAAAAGAATTACAATATTCTCTACAGTGGGTGAATTAGATCAGTCACTGTTTAAGTGTCTTAGATGAAAATCCCACTTTGCAAATGGGTATTTAGGATTGTGTGTGAAACATGGAATGTCCTGAAAAGCCACCGACTCTCTCACAATGAAGCATGGTTTTGCAACAAGGATAAGGATACTTTCCAAGTGCATTCAGTGGAGCAGTATCCTGACTGTGCTTAATAAAAGCATGGGTCACTGTCCAGTAGGGAAAGATAAAAACTGTTGTCTAGTAATTGTGACATGCCAGTGTGAGACCTCATCTGGAGGAGATAAGGAAAGTAAAGAATATAGTTGAGTTTAGTAGTCAGAAATTCCTTATCAGTTCCTTGGAACAAAGGAAGGATGGAAAGGAGTTCTGATAAGAACATTGATGGGTAGTATTCAATGTAGAAAGAAACTGCTCTGTAGCAAGGATGTGTGATCTTTTAGTGACTTAGTGTTGCTTGCTAATTGGGTTGAGTGCTTCCAGTAACTCTGACCGCAGACTTCATCTTGGAACTCTCTAGAAGGAGGGAAAATTGATATTTAACTTACGCTATTTGTATTAGTTTGCTATGGCTGTCATAATAGAACACCACGGTCTTGAATACTTAACCAACTAAATTTTATCTTTTTACAATCTGGAGAATGAAAGTCCAAGATTAAGGTATCAACAGGTTGGGTTTCTCTGGAATCCTCTCTCCTTGGCTTGCAGACAGCAGCCATCTCACCATGTCCTTGTGTGGCCTTTCCTCTGTGCAGGAACATCCTTGCCCTCTCTTTCTCTTCAGGGCTCACTAGTCCTTTTGGATTAGGGCCCTACTTGAAGGGACTCTTTATCTTAATCATCTTATCTCTAAATACACCTACCTTCTAAAATACTGGTATTTTAGAACTTCAACTTAGGAGTTTTGGCAGGACAACATAATTTAGCTTATAACAACTGATATAGTGGTTAAAAATGTAGATTTTTAGGCCAATCTGTCTGGGTTCAAACCCTCGCTCTACCATTTCTTGGTTGTGCACTTGGCTCTTGGATTTTCCTGGCAGTTGAGTACTAAGTGTTAGCTATCATTGCTTCATTTTTAGTATTTTCCGGCTGAAATGAGGTGTCCTTTTCCAGTGTAGTTGACTAGTTATAGATCATGTAGCAGCTTGTCTGAATTTTCCTGGTAGTGAGTTAGCATAAATATTTTGCTATGAGTTTCTCCTAGGGTTTTCTGAGCAATAAATTGATTTTTTTAAAAAAATTTCTCTTCCTACTTAAACCAAAGAGTTTAAAGTCTGTATCCCATAAAGTTTTATTGGATTAGTTATAACAAAGTCTTTTAGAACTAGCTATCATGTTCTCCAGTGGGAAGTCCATTAGAGGAAATGGCATAGAAAATGTGGGTTTCTTGGTAGAAAGCGACAGATAATGTGCCCATGGTCATTCAGCTCAGACTAGTTCAATCTAACAGACTTTTTAAATATGCCAGGCATGGTTCTCAGTGCAGGGAATAATTTCCTAGGGCTGCATTGGAGGGGGCTAGTTCATAAGTAGCTGTTATAAGGTAGATGTTCATGAACTTAACAGAGATTAAGAGGTGGTACAAGCAATTTAGGACTGGGGAGCTTCTGGATGAGGGATCATCTGAATTGGGCCTCAAAACACTGGGAGTATAGGATGCTAGCAACCATCTACATACTGTGGAGAAACTTACAGACTCTCCCCACTTACTGGGGGAACTTTCTGAGAATGGTAAGTGATGATCTCAGCCTCTGGGATAATATGAAGGAGTTCTTCACGGGCAAGATTTTGTTGAGTATTTGTACATTTTATCTTAACAGTGCATGTAAGTATTGTGTTCATTATGAAATGTTAACACAAAATGGTGAATTTCCCCCACAAAATTCTTCAGAAAGAGAGATTGTGTGGCTTTCTGTGTGTGTGTGCTTTGTCTTTATCTATGCTTATGTCCATCCTGGCTGGAATAAAACAGACCTGGCCAGATGGGCTGCTTCTATCCATGGCACAGCAGACCCTGGAGACCTCTCAAGAGGCAAAGCAAGAACCCCCTCTTCTTTCTGCCTTTAAATGCATTACAGAACATTTTGAAATAATGACCTTTTACCCTTTGTGCCTTTTCAAATAAATTCTGTTGATATTTTACATACTGTAAAAGATGCGGATCTTAGGTGTACAAATCGATGTGTTCAGTGCGTAGGCATAGTCATGCGCTAGAACATGTCCATCATCCCCTGTGACCTTTTACAGTCATTCTCCTCCCTCAAATCTTTCCTTTTTAACTCCTGATTTGGAGCCATTTTCAAATGGCTACAAAAATAAGAATAAAAATATAAACTACACAGCAATACTCTTCCAAATTCACTGACTGTTTAATTTTTACCCATTTTCTTTCTCATTCATGGGTTCTCTTCAGTTTTTCTGAAATGTTCCAGGTTACATTATACAGTGTGGCCTGTACTTCTAAGTACTCCAGTGTGTTTTTTCTAAATATCTTACATGAGCATAGTCCACTTACAAAACTCCAGTAAACATATCCTGCATACAATGTGTGTGTGCAAACTATTCTCTATATCCCAGTTTTTGCAGTTGGCCTAAGAATGTCCTCAGTAGCATTTCCTCATCCACAGCCCATGGTCTAGTGTAGGCTCTGATGTTGCCTTGGTTTCTC